AAAAAATAAAGAATAAGCTAGAGTGATGCAGCATAGCCCTCGTTAGCTGATAGGTGATGGCATGCAAAAAAGTTACTCAGTATAGTATATGTTACGGTGGGCACATAACTTGGATTTGGTAGTTGTGGACAGAGGAATCAGCAAATCATTTCCTTGAGAAAGTTACATGAAGCCATATCTAGGAGCTAAGTAGGAACTGGAAATGGAAGAGGATGTTTGAGACAGGGGCGATACTGCCAAAGTGTGAAAGCTATAAGGAACATAGTCCTTTAGCCTATTTAAAATGGAAAATAATGGCTGGTACATAAAAGTGCCAAGGAAAATGGTTAGAGAGGCATGAGGCAAATCTGGAAGACATGGTAAAAAGTTTGGGTTATATCCAGAGAATAATGTGAAACCCTTGAAGTATTTCAGCCTGGGAAATTACATAATCAAGTTTGTAATTAAGAAGAAAATTCTGACAGCAGTATATAAAACAGAAGGGAGAAGGGCAAGATTATTGACAGGCAGATTGGTTGCAGCAATCCAGACAAAAGATGAGGCGCCTTTGATCTAAAGTAGAGGTGACAGCAACATGGCTAAAATGAGGAGTAGACACATTAAACAGATATTTAGGTGACTGGATGTGGGAGTGAGGAATGGATCAAGGTTGAGTCATGGGATTTAGTCTGAGCAACTAGGTCTTTGATGATTCACTGAGTTAAGAAACAGAAGTAGGTTTGGGGAGAAAATAAATCACATATAGATGTGTGGAGGACATCAAAATGCAGCTGTGCTTAGTCAGCAACCCTGGAGAGAAACCTGTTCTAGAGAGGTACATATAAGAAATATTAGAAATAGGGCCCGGCGCGGTGGCGCAAGTGGTTAAAGGTCCTCGCCTTGCACGCCCGGGATCCCATATGGGCGCCGGTTCTAATCCCGGCAGCCCCGCTTCCCTTCCAGCTCCCTGCCTGTGGCCTGGGAAAGCAGTCGAGGACGGCCCAAAGCTTTGGGAACCTGCACCCGCGTGGGAGACCTGGAAGAGGCTCCTGGCTTCGGATCGGCATAGTATCGGCCCGTTGCGCTCACTTGGGGAGTGAATCATCGGACGGAAGATCTTCCTCTCTGTCTCTCCTCTCTGTATATCCGCCTTTCCAATGAAAAAATAATAAAAATAAATCTTAAAAAAAAAAAGAAATATTAGAAATAATAGTCGTGGGCTTGGCTCAATGGCTCAGTGGCTAAATCCTTGCCTTGAAAGTGCCAGCATCCCGTATGAGCACCGGTTCGTAGCCCAGCTGCTCCATTTCTTTTCCAGCTCCTTGCTTGTAGCCTGGGAAAGCAGTCGAGGATGGCCCAAAGCCTTGGGACCCTGTACCCACTTAGGAGACCTAGAAGAAGTTCCTGGCTTTGGATTGGCTCAGCTTCAGTCATTGTGGCCACTTGGCGGGGGGGGAGGGGGGTATGAATCAACAGATAGAAGATTTTTCTGTATCTCCTTCTCTCTGTAAATCTGATCTGCATTTCCAAAAAAATATAAATCTTACCAAAAAAAAAAAAAAAGAGAGAGAGAAAAAGGAAATAATAGTTTAGAGAGCTGGCCTGTGGCACAGTGAGCTAAGTTACCACTTCTGATGCCAACATCCCATGTCAACACCCATTTGAATCCAGGCTGTTTCACCTTTTGTTCCAGCTCCCTGTTAATGCGTCTGGAAGAGCAGTTAAAAATGACCTGAAGCACTTGGGCCCCTGCCATTGTATAGGAGTCCTGGGTGGAGTTCTGGACTCCTGTCTTCAGCCTGGATCAGTTACAGTCATTTGAGGAGTGAAGCAGTAGAAGAAAGACTGCCCCTCACCCCCAGCGCGTGTCTGTCTTTCAAACAAATATGTAGATAAATAGATGGATATTAATTTTTAAACCTGGAAGAATTACAACTACTGCCAGGCCTGGGCCAGTCTAAAGCTGGGAGCCAGGAGCTGCTTCTGACTCTCCCACCTGGGTGCAAGGGCAGGGAGACTTGAGCCATCTTCCACTGCTTTCCCAGGCCGTAAACTGGATCAGAAGTGAAAGAACGAAGTCACAAACCAGCACCCATTTGGGATGCTGGCATCCCAAGTGGAGGATTAGCTTAATGTACCACTGTACTGGCTCCAGTAAAACTTTTTTTTTTTGAGATGTAATAGTTGAAACAGTGGAGGGATGTTCATTTATCCGGGGATTAAGTTTGAACGTGAAAGTGCTTCAAGTACAGAATCCTGAAAGATGCTGAAATGGCAGGGAAGAAGCAGGCAGTAGAAGCAGTCTGAAGAGGACACGGGAGGGAATGACCAGGAGTTGGAGGAAACACCAGAAAACTTAACACTCATACAAAACGTTTGAAAGCAAATATACGGATACATGTAATGAAATGTGTTAGGAAGTATTGCAAGTCCTTTATACATAATGAGTAATTTAATCCTCAAAACAACCCTATGAAATATTATCTCTGTTTCACAGTTGGGGGAAACAGCTTGTCCAAAGTCATATGGCGAATGAACTGCAGATTGAAATTTGGTTCTAAGTTGTTTGAATCCAGAAAAAGTCCGTGTACTTAGCTAGTATTCTGTGCTAGTGTTCCAGATAAAACACTTAGAGAAGCCCCAAATGTTGGAGTTTTTGTCCTCATTTTCCCAGAGGAAAGCTGAAGTCCAAAGACATGAAGTCACTTGAGCAGAGTCTCATAGTTGTAGGTATTAGTCAGAATTGGAATTTGGTTTCCTTAATGTCAAAGCTTCAAAAACACCATGATGTCTTGTGTCCTAATTAGCTGATGCTGTTTTTAAGGCCTGAGTTCTCTAGAAATGCCATCAGAGCGTCGTGTGATCATGGAGGAATTACAACTCCACCAGCATACACTGATTTAAAAATCTTTATTCCTCTTACTTATCACTATCTGAAATGAATGCCCCAGTGTGGGACAGTTTCATGGAAGAAAGCTAGAGCTTCAACTCTTAGCGTTGCTTCCCCAACTGTCCCACTGTATTCTTTGAAATTTAAAGGACACACTTGATGTGTTAAGTCAGATCTAAAGGTTATGCCTTGAAGTCCATAAAAGATAACTTTGGGATCTTTTAAGAACTAAAAAACTGTTAGGCAGGTTTTAATCTCATGTAAAATCGTGTGGAAAGGTGCCCTCTAGTGTTGTTCTTAGGAAGTAATTTAAATATTACCGGTTTCTGATCTCAGTCACCACCTTGTGGCAATATGCTCAAATAATTTTGTTTTCTGGCAAAAATCCTCCAGAATCTTGCATTAATCAGTATATAAAACCAGCTCATGGACTATCCTGAATGATCCAGAAAAGAATCTCTTTAGATGAGATTATTATTTTATAATTATTTTGTTTAGAACTTTATAAAACTTTGAAAAGAAGCCTCAGTTGAAATTAAATTAAGGCCTTCAAAAAGAAAAAAGGAAGATACAGTTTGTTTTGTATGTTACTGAAACAATGCAAGTGAAAAATAGATCTGATAGACATTAACTTTTCATTGTATCAAACCGTATGTAAAATTCTCTAAGCTATTCTCAGGAGTACAGTTCAGCGGCACTAACAAATCCTCAACTAAACCACTCCAAAACATAACACAAGCTGAGGAGATATGCCATTCCCATTAAACTCCCGTTTCTTCTTCCCCCTGGTCTCTGACAGTCTGTCTACTTTTCATTCCTAAGAGTTTATCTATTGTTCATATCTCATACGTGGAGTCATATAGTATTTGTCCTTTAGTGTCTGCTCTTACTAATAATATTTTCAAGGGTCATTCTGTATCAGGTGTAAGAATTCCTTTCTTTGACTAATATTAGATTGTACACAACATGATGTGTTTCTCCATCTATCTGTTGATAGACATTTGGATTTGTAGATTTGACTACCATGAATTAAGGCTGCTGTGAACATTAGTGCACAGTTAGCTATTTAGTTCATGTTTTCCAGTTTTTTAAAAATGTGTGCCTAGAAGTGTAATCACTGGATAATATGGTAGTTCTGTTTCACTTTTTAAAGGTAAATTTGTAACAAGATTCATTTACTTTTATTTGAAAGCCAGAGTCACAGATAGAAAGAGCAAGCAAGGGAGCCTGGGAGAGCAAGCGTGTGTTTCCATGTAATGGTTCACTCTGAATGGCCACAGTGGCCAGAGCTGAGCCAGCTCAGAGCCAGTCTCCCACATGGATGCAGGGGCCCAAGGACTTGAGCCATCCTCTGCTTTCTCAGGCCATAAGTAGGGCGCTGGTTCTAATCCAGCTCCCTGCCTGTGGCCTGGGAAAGCATTCAAGGCTGGCCCAAAGCTTTGGGACCCTGCACCCGTGTGGGATACCCGGAAGAAGTTCCTGGATCCTGGTTTCGGACCGGCATAGCATCGGCTGTTGCGCTCACTTGGGGAGTGAATCATCAGATGGAGGATCTTCCTCTTTGTCTCTCCTCCTCTCTGTATATCTGACTTTCCAATAAATAAATAAATCTTAAAAAAATAAAAAAGATACATTGTTGAGTTTTAGATAACTTAGTTTAATTTTTTTTTCCTCCAAATGAATAAGTAAGTATAATTTTCATTGAATGGTTGGAAAAATTAATCCTTGTGCCAAATTTAGAGAGGATTGATGGCTAAGATCAAAATGTTTATTGAATCTAGTTCCCAAAGAGTATGGTCAACTTGTAATTATAAAGTCCTCCTCTGAAAGAAATCACAATAAGGATTTTTACAAATAATGTTCATTCTGATTTCAGTAGGGACTGAACGAACGCTCTTTTTGGTCATTCTTCCTTTGTGTCCTCATAGTTAAGTTTGATAAGCTTCTGTATGAACTAAGCAATCTGGGGGTACAATTTATATTATCTTTGATTTTTTTTTAGTCTTTAGAATTTTTCAGTTCCATCTTTGAACAGTGTACAATAGGTAATATGTTGCATAAGATCTCTCTAACGATTCGTTTTTCTCTTACCAGGTTGGAATCGTTTGAATCATCCTGATAGAGTCCCACAATGACTACTGCTCAGCTCCTGCACTCCATCAGAATCCGGAAAGCAGCTAAGGTATTTGTGAAGAATTAAAAGAAAATCAATGACCATTTAGTGACTTGTTCAGAATCATGATTTTAATCTTTTTCCTTTAAGCAGCAGGTTTATCAGTTAATTGGCACATAATGTTCTGGGAGAGAGTATGTGTACATTTTTAGCTATTTAGTAGCCTAAAGCTTTTCAGAAAATTTGATAAATTACTACACAGTAACTCACTGGGTGGTTGTGCCATGTGCATAGATATGTTCTAGAGTACAAGAAATCAGAAAAGAAAATGTTTAAGGAGAATGGTTCTTTGTTCAACATTCATGTCCTGAAGCAATTAGGAAATTATGTTGCATGTGGTAATAATAAAACCAAATGGGGACAGGTCTGAGAAACTTAGCTAACAGCCTGAGGGAGCATGCAAGGGCCAGGCAGTCTTGTTGGATTCCCTTGGGCAAGTGTAACTGTCCAGTGACTTTCATTAATACATCATCCATTTGTTTATGGCAATTCAGTCTTATAATATTGTGTTGCACTCTGTTCTATGAAATAATTTTAAAAATCACCTTCTAGAAACTCATATTAGGGAAATTCATAGATTTATAGTACTAAAGATATAAGACAATAAATTATTTACATGTATAAGGGTAAGTTTAAGGGTAAGTTTTATTTACGTGTAAAAGGGTAAGTTGGGGCTGCCGCAGTGGCTCAGCAGGCAAGCACCACTGGCAAGCACCAGCATCCCATAGGAATACTGGTTTGTGTCTCAGCTGCTCCATTTCCCACCAAGATTCCTACTTATATGGCCTGGGAAGGCGGAGGAGGATGGTCCAAAGCCTTGGGACCCTGCACCCACATGGGAGACCCAGAAGGAGCTCCTGGCACATGGTTTTGAATCAGCTCAGCTCCAGCCTATTGCAGCCATTTGGGGAAATGAGCCAGCAGGTGAAAGACCTCTTTCTCTGTCTCTCCTTCTCTCTATGAATTGCCTTTGAAATTAAAAAAAAAAAAAATCTGAAAAAAGCAAAGCAAGGCAATTCAAATGATGGGAATTTAAAGATTTAATATAAATTAGAATGGGTTATATATTCCTCATGAAGGAGGTGGGACTTATGGTGGACCTTGAATTCGGAAAAGAATTTGGATAGAGAGAAAATTTCACGAGGGAAATCCAGCAAAGTAAGAAAATAAGCATGGCATGTTTCAGAGAATAATAATGTTGATGATAATAATAATAATAATGATAATTTAAAAAACTATCCTTACTAGAGTGTAGGACTCATCATGTTGGATGATAGTGGAAAACAAACTTGAAAAGGAGCTTTGGTACCAATTGGTATGGACCTTAAAAGTTAGTGTAAAGAATTTAAGATTTATGCTTTACTCTATGGTCAACAGAAGAGTTAGAGCATTTCATCAGAAGAGTGAACACTATAATTGCTTTAGGAATAGAAAGCTGGAGCAAAGGTAGAAAACATTGAAACTAAAGAGTTAGGGCAGGGTAAGCCATCGTCTTCCTGGCTTGAAGTCAACGTGCTCACTAGGCAGACTTCTGGACTCACTTGGCTTCCTAAGCGTGCTTCCTTCCTGGGGAGAAAATGCTGAGCCGGATACATGAACTGCAGTCAGCTCGGCAGTCATTTTTTTCAATGTAAGTTAATAAAGTGACCTTTGATACAAACAAATCTTTATCATTTGGAATACATGAATTACTTCTCCCCATACATTTTAAGTTGATTTTATGATTTTTCTATTTGAGACTAAAGCAAAAAAGAAAAATAATAATAATGATAGAGACTAGTATTTATTCAGTACTTTGCATGTATTGGGTACTGTGCCTAGGGCTTATTTATATTTTTAAGAAGGAGGAAACTGAAACTCAAGAAAAAGTAACTTACCCAGGATCATGTAGTTTGACAGCTAAGCTGTCAAGTATCTCTTATGGCATTAAGCGCAGTTTATGGGATTAAACACACTATTAAAATAACTTACAGTGTTTTCTGTTATGAAACCATAGTATTTTCATAGGTTACACACCTATAAAAAGTATCTGCAATAATGCTTACAATATTAGACCAGCTTTACTGACTGGGGGGTTGGTAGGATTGGCAGGGGGGAAATCCTTAGAGTATAGAGTAATAACAAGACTCTAAAGGCCTTTTCCAACCATTGATTTTCATTACTGCAAATGGCTTTTTAGATTCTATTTTTAAAGTAAACGTCTTTGTACTTTCAAGTTATTTAATTTTACAAATGGATTATTCAAATACTGCCTGCAAGTTTGGAATGTTTGCAGTGAGTTACTATATGCATGCCATGCCAACTGTAACCTAATTACCCAAAAGAGCTTTCATTTCTCAGGATCTATGGTTATGAAATAGAACTGTCTGAAGAATTTATATATACCCTCATAAACCCTCAAATACATAATAATGCGTGCCATAATAATCATGTTTTAAGAAGACTTTTAAGCAGCTGAATAGCAGCAGGCATTCACTGTGTTACAGTAGCTTGGATCCTTTATTGGAATGCTTGTGTTGGAGTCCTTTGTACCCCTCTTCCCATTCAGCTTCCCACTAATGAATCCGGGAAGGCAGCTGGTGATGACCCAAGTGTTTGGGTCCTTATCGCCCAACAGGGAGTCTCGAATCCCTGGCTCCTGGTTTTGGCTTGGCCCAGCTCTAGTTCTTGCAGCCATCCGGGGAGTGAACCAGTGGGTGGAAGATCTCTTTCTCTCTCTCTGTCACCCTTTCAAATAAAAGCAACTTTAAAAATAGAAATACAGAAACAGAACCGGAAATGCATCTTGAAGGCTACAGCTCAACCTATGAGATAATCCAAAAAGAGAATCATGAAAAAGGGAAGGAAAAAAAAGCAAACAAAAGACCCAGGTAGAATCATCTGGGAATAGCAACATTTGAAGGGCAAAATAGCTGGAAAAAAAGAGGAATTACACATTACACAGAGTAAGTGGTCAGGAGAAAATGTTCTTGGTAACTTGGGGAAGAATAGTATAGACTGGAGAGAGATAAAAGTGATTACAGTGAGTTTTTAAGGAATGTGAAGAGATTAGGTAATCTTATAAAACTCCAGTTTTACTCCACCCATAGATCACCATGAAATAAATTGTTTTACTGTGAATTACATAAATATTTGTCTCTCCCCTTTCGTACTGCCTTATTTTGGAAATTAAATATTTTTTTTTTGCATTTTTTCCCTTTATTTTTGACATTCTTGACATAGATGATTAGGGCGCAAAGGGTCAAGGGCTACAGGAAAGTTGGTAAGATAAAGGGAGAAACCCCACCCAGCCTCCCACCCATCCCAGGTTCCCGATGTGGGGCTTGCTCCGAGGGTCATGGAAATGAAATTTAATGTGATATTCAAAGTCCTGTCTCCATTTGAAGTCCTGTAAAATATCAACGTTGAAGTCTTGGAGAAGCTTCCCATTATACTTGTGGTCATGACAGGACGGACTGAATTCAAAGAATCTAAAATTCTTCTCACTGTTCTTTTTCCAGGAAACTGCTTTCCCATCCCATGTTACTAATGAGTGTGAGTCACTGACAATGGTGAAGAAACTTTTTGCAACCTGCATCTCTTGTATAACATATCTAAGGGGCCTCTTTCCGGAGAGTTCTTACGGAGAACGCCGTTTGGATGGTAAAATTTAACTATCTGATCACTTTGGTTGTATTCCTTTTCTCTGTTTAGCAGGAGTAAATCTTTCATTTCTTAGTGTGTGCTAATTCCAGCTCATGTGTCTGTTCTTGCTAATCCATTTTCCATTTTAATTTCACTATGTTTAGCGGTACTTATAGGAACCATTATCTCCTGGCCGGATACCAAATGACAGACTGGGAAAAAAAAAAAAAAGGAAATCTGTAGAAACAAGCCTAGTAATTCTAAACAATACTTGCAAAAGCAGCAGCCCACATCCAAAGCTATTTGAACGCTGAGGATAAGCACTGGACCTCAGGTGGATTTGTCCTTTGAGGTATGCTTTGGCATTTGAGCAAGTTCAAAGGAAACAAATGAAAACTATTCTTTCAAGGCCAATGCTATGGTGTCTTTAAAAGCCGCTGCCCATGGCTCTGGCATCCCATAGAGGCACCAGTCTGAGTCCTCGCTGTCCATGTTCAATCCAGCTGCCTACTAATGTTGCTGGAAAGTAGTGAAAGATGGCTCAAGTGGGACACCCAGATGAAGCTCCTGGCTTCACCTGCCACAGATAGAGTACCTCTGTTTCTGACTCTCCCTCTCTCAGTAACTCTGCCTTTCAAGTGAATAAATCAATCTTTTTTAAAAGCCTCTCTCTCTCTCTCTCTCTCTCTATATATATATATATATATATATATGTGTGTGTGTGTGTATATATATATATATATATATATAATGTGAGGAGTTGTGAGGGGTTTTCAAAAAGTTCCTGGAAACATGTGTTGTGAGAAGACTATATGTGGGGCTGGCACATGGCACAACAGGCTAATCCCCTACCCTGTTGCGCCAGCATCACATATAAGCACCAGTTTGTTTCCAGGCCACTCCATTTCCAATCCAGCTCCTTGCTTATCACCTGGAAAAGCAGTGAAAGATGGCACAAGTCCTTGGGACCCTGCACCTCTATGGGAGATTTGAAAGAAGGTCCTGGCTGCCAGCTTCAGCTCATCTCAGCTCTGTACATTGCAGCCGCTGGGCAAAAACGGAAAACCTTCTCTATCTCTCCAACTTCTCTAACTCTCCCACTTCTCTATCTCTCCCACTCTCCTGTGTGGGAGACCTGGAAGAGGCTCCTGGCTCCTGGCTTTGGATCAGCTCAGCTCCTGCTGTTGTGACCACTTGGGGAGTGAACCAACAGATGGCAGATCTTTCTTTGTCTCTCTCCTCTCTCTGGGTAAATCTGACTTTCCAATAAAAATAAATTTACACGGAAGGAGAGACAGAAATTCTTCTATCTGCTGGTGCACTTCCCAGATTACCACAGTAGCTACAACTGAGCCAATTGAAGCCAGGAGCTGTGGACTTCGTGCTCTCCAGAGCCATCCAATGCAGCGTTCCCAGGCCATAAGCAAGGGGGCTGGATCGGAAATGAAATAGCCAGGATGTGATGCAGCACATATAGGATGCCAGCATTGCTGGCAGAGAATTAGCAGGCTGTGCTGCCATGTTAACCCTGTTGGTGAATGTATTTATATGTAGCATACGATTTCCGCCCTTGTTTGGAAAATGGAATCAAAAAGACATCTGGGACTGACTCTGTGGCATAGCACGCTAAGCCTCAACCTGAAGCACTGGTATCCCAAATGGCCACTGATTCAAATTCCAGATGTTTCAAATCCTGTCTGATTCCTTGCTAATGGCCTGGGAAAGCAGCAGAGGAAGACCTAAGTGCTTGTGCCCCAGCAGCCATGTGAAAGACCTGGAAGAAGCTCCTGACTTTGAGCTGGTCCAATTCTAGCCATTGTAGCCATTTGGAGAGTGAACCAATGGATGAAAGATCTCTGTGTCTTTGCTTTCTCTGTAACTCTCCCTTTCACGCAACAATAAATACATCTTTTGAAAAAAGAAAACTATCTTTTTGGGTAATTAAGTGTTTACTGTTTGTTAGTCATTTCTGTAACCACGAGGGTCATATCATTTCTTATGGCTTTATTTGTTGTGATAGTTACAGTGGAAATTACATGTTCCTCTCTCAATATAAATTAGAAAGTAGTATTTCTAATTTATAAAATGGTCATTACTCCCATGCCATTCTCTTTCTGGCAATATCTAAATATTATGCCAACATGCAATAATTTTCATATCCCTTAATAGAAGTGCAGGTGACAAGTAACGAAGGTTGATTTTTCAATCAGCCAGATTGTGCCGCAGTATTGCAAGAAATTGTAATCAAAATTGAAACTAAGCTAACTATCAACTTAGGATTTTTCCTTAAATTAGATGTTTAGATACTTCAGGTATTTTTAGAAGTATAAAACCAAGTTTTGTAAATGAAAAATTGTAAAAAAAAAAATATCCTATTGAGTGTGGACAGTTTTAGCATAATAATTTAACAGATGAAAATACATTTGGCTTCTTCTTTTGCAGATTTCACTTTAAAAATCCTCCGGGAAGACAAAAGATGCCCTGGGTCTCTGCATATTATCAAATGGTAAGCAACTGAAGTTCCACCACAGTTGGAACAAAAAAGAATTTTTATCTTATTGAAACTACGTATCAGATTTTATTTATAAGATCATTTCCTTAAAAACCACTTTATTTCTTAATCCTCTTTTTTTTTGTAAATAATTTCCTTGCCATCTATAATAATCATTCAGTATTAAGATATTAATTTGGTTTTGTTCTGAAAGAAAATGAACTTGTGTCAAAAACATGAAACTTGGCTGATTTATCATACATGTGTTAATGTACTTAACATTGTGGGAGCCACCCTGCCACTCACCACGGAGGGCAGAAGGGAAGGAATCCCTACCTTAAAATTGTTTACCTATTACTTATAAGGTTCTATTCATACATTAAAAAGATTCTGGTAATCTTAAAAAAAAATATGACTAAATCGAAAAAGAAAATGCTTATCAAGTAATGTAATTCAGGCAAAAAAAAAAGCAAATGAATTTGGTATTTGGAGGTTTTTTTTTATATATGATTCAAATTGACATCAAACATTTATTTCTTGGCAGGATTCAAGGTTGTTTTGATGCCTTGGAAAAGAGATACGTAAGAATGTTTTAAAATTTACACCAAGATTAAAGACTCGTCTTTTATTCCTTGAAAAATGTTTGGATTTTTATTTTGTTGTATTTAACCATGTACCAATACTTACATTTACATTCATGAGTCAGTTTCCTTTTTATTTTACATCTTTACTGTTTCACTGAAGTCTCCTTTACATTAGTTGGAAACGAGCTTTACGTTTTTCTGTTTGATATGCTCATCTCTTTCTGACCGCAGAATTTCCTCTGAAGTCACTGGGAGAGATCCACAGGATGTGGGGTGGAGGAGACGAGAGTCTGGCATTCAGCACGTTGAGCATGTACAGAACAGTAGCAGTTCTTCTGCAGATAGGAAAGGAAAGGATTGATTCGAATAGTTTTAAATTCCTAGTTATTATTTTTAAAGACTGACTTATTGAAAAGTCAGAAAGAAGGAGAGACAAAGATTTTTCCATCTGCTGGTTCATTCCCCAAGTGGCTGCAATAGCTGGAGATGGTCTGATCCAGAGCCAGGAGCTTCTTCTGGTCTTCCATGCGGGTGCAGGGTCTCAAGGCGGTTGGGACATCCTCTACTGCCTTCCCAGGCCACAGGCAGAGAGATGGATGGGAAGTGGAGCAGCCAGGACAGGAATCGGAGTCCTTGTGGGATCCTGGTGCTTGCAAGGCCAGGACTTCAGCCATTAGGCTACCACACAGAGCCCAATTATTGTTTTGGTAACTATGTGTTTAATATCAGTTCCCTCTAACTAGGTAGGATTATACGCTGAATGTTTCAAAAGCAGCCTCAATTTTAATCATGTCTAATCTTCCTTGCTATTCTAGAAAGCTGTGAAGAGGGTAAAAAAGGGAGACTAGTTCTAGGTGAAGAAATAAGATGTGTATAAATGAAATTTCTGCCACCACTTCCCCTCATCCTCACTTGTATCTGCTTTTTACTTCCTCTCAGTTCCTGTTCTTTTAGGAAAATGTTAGATTATGTAAGCCTTGCATTGGATTGTTCAGCACCTTCATACATTTTTTTCACTTAATTGTTATTACTTACGAGTTTTCTCAATACTGACCTGGGAAACTGAGGGAAATTGTGATAAAACTGCTGTGGGATAGCCCTTGCACACTGTGGCGTCAGGCCTACTCATCAGGCTGAAAATCATTTTGAGTAAAGTCAAGTTTTAATATAGAGTGATCTTGAAAAAGATGCTTTGTCTACGGCCATACCACCCTGAACGTGCCTGATCTCATCTGAAAAAGATGTTTTTCTGTTTAAGATGATCATTACTTCGGTTGTTGTTCCATGTTATTATTAGAATTTATATTATATTTTTCTTTATTTAAAAAATAATATCAGTCTGAGAGGTGTGTTTTTTCTTAAAGATTCATTTATTTTGCTTGAAAGTTAGAGTTACAGAGAGAGGGGGGAAGAGGAGGAGAGCTTCCATCCACTGGTTCACTCCTCAAAAGGTTGCTACAGCTGGAGCTGTGTTCTACAGCTGGGAGCCAGAGCTACTTCTGGGTCTCGTACGTGGATGCAGGAGCCCAAGGCTTTAGGCTGTTCTCTGCTGCTTTCCCGGGCCATTAGCAGGGAGCTGGATTGGAAGTAGAGCAGCAAGGACGCAAGCCAGCACCACAGGCTAAGGATTATCCTCTCATATATTGTATGCTTATTTTGTCTGCTTACTGCCACTCTTAGTCCAACCCACCATCCTTATTGCAATCAAAATTTGAGTCTTTTCATGTTGTTACTTTGCCTAAACCATACCCAAGAGTCAGCGTCCTCTGCATAAGGTGCGTGACCTGGGTGATCCCTGTCTGCCATCCAAGACATTGTCCTCACTCCCATGTTCAAGCTACAGTAAGATTCTAGAACATGCCGTGGTCATTTTACCCTTTTATATATGATGATATTTTTTTTTTAACCTGGGAGATTCTCTCCCCTACCACATTTGCATTTTCTAGCTAACTTGAATATTTACTTTTCCATGAGAGTCTTTCCTGACACACCTCCTTCCCAGTCTAGATTGTCCTGCTATTTAGTGTCCTCATTGATACCCCACACTGCCTTCTCATGGGCATTAACAAAGCTATCATGTAGGGGTCTTGCATGGTAGATTAGAGGTCATTGCCTTGCCTCCACCAGGATCCCATATGTGCACTGCTTTGTGTCCCAGCTGCTCCACTTCCCATCCAGCTCCCTGCTTGTGGCCTGGGAAAGCAGTAGAGGACAGCCCAAAGCCTTGGGACCCTGCACCTGCATTGGAGACCCAGAGGAGGCTTCTGGCTTTGGATCAGCTCAGCTCTGGCCATTGAGGCTGCCTGGGGAGTGAATCAACGAATGGAAGATCTTTCTCTCTGTCCCTCCTACTCTCTGTAAATCTGACTTTGCAATAAAAATAAATAAATCTTTAGGAGAAAACCTATGATATGGCTACTTGAGCTTTTTGTTTATGTTCATGTGTTCAGCTAGTCTGGATGTTCCCTGAGGTCGGGGCCATTTCCATTTTTTGAAAATGTATTTGCAGAAGTTACAGAGAGAAAAGGAGAGACGGAGAAAGATACTCTTCCACCTGCTGGTCAGTCCAGGAATGGCCTGAGCAGCCGGGGACGGATGTGGTTGAAGTCAGGAAGCAGGAGTTTCACCCATTTCTCCCATATGGATGCAGGGAGCCTAGCACTTGGGCCACATGCTCTGATTTCCCCAGGCTATTAACAGGGAGCTGAATTAGCACATGAACCATGCCCACGTGGGATACTGATGCTGAAGGCAGAGGCTTTTCCTTCTGTGCCACAATACTGGCTCTGGCCATGTCCATTTGTGAATAAATGAATGAACTATTAGTTGAATAGCCTTTACTGTCTATCAAAAAATCAATTATATGCAGTGACCTGAATAGCCACATGATGGCACTAGAGTTTTAGTCCTTTGATAGAGAATTACAGTCCAGAAATTTTCTGATTTACCTTCTAGTGTAAAAAAAATGTATCACAGTCTTGACTTACATATCTGTATGCTCTGTTACCCTTTCAAGAAGAATCTTTTATATAGTAGTATATATGTCAGGAGGACAAGGCTTTTCTAGACGTCAGACTTGTACTAACTTTAATAGATTAATTTGATAAGGATTGCTTCTTTCAGGTAATTATGACATTTAATTTTTAGGAGCAGTGAATTGTTTTGTAAATGTTTTGTAAATGTGTTTTTGTATCCATCTCTTCAGCAGAACTCTGTACAAAAAATAGGCACTCATTTAAATGAATGAAGAATTTGCATTGTTTTCTGCACTTTCTAAATGATATTATTAGTCTCTCAAATCTTTGTTGCATCTCTAAAATAACATTTTAATTGGCTTCTACTGAGCATAATATAGGTATAAACATACGATAATAATACTTTTCTTTTCTCTTGAAGCTACACATGGCAGTACTTACAGTAAGTATACAGTACAAACCAAATCTTTCTCTACTTTAATGTCTTTTGACAAATGAAGTGCTAAGTGCCCCCCCTCCTGGCTTTCTTTAACCTATTTTATAACATTTTGTAATTTGAAAAAAAAATAGGATCTGCCAGCTTTTATAATAGATTACAGACTATTTCTTTGGTATGCAAAAGAACTTCAGAAAGTGCATGGAAATGCATTTTATGAAAGTGTGCATGATTTTAAAAAATGTTTTGCACCAAGATAAGCTTCTCAATTCTATTTGCCACAGACTTTTTGAAGTATCCTTGTATTACAATATATGGGAAAACAAGATATTCTGTCTGCTTTATCTTTTCATTCCCAGAATTTCGTTTTTATGTTAGTTTACCGATTCAGAGGGTTTTGTATTTGAAGTTTGAAGACATTGTTAAAGTATTGCATTCCTGAGTATAGCATCTTGGACACAAGTTAAGAAAAGTGAGAAAATTAGGACATACCATTGATTTTCTTAGATATATGATTTACTAAAAAAAAAAAATGCAATCACAGCTAGAACAAGGGGTCATTATGCTAAGTGAGATTAGCCAAACCCAGAAGGACAAATATATTTTTCTGATTTGTGGAAGTTGTTATACAGAGTATGAAACTTGCATGGATGTTACACCGTTGGCTATTTAGTTATAAATATTGCTTCACTTTATTCTACTATGTTAATGACATTGTATACTTCCTTCCCTACATTGTGATCATTGTATAAGAAATTTCCTTGTACTTGTTTATAGAATGCATTTTTCTGTTTTTTAAAAAAAGGATTTATTTTGTTTTTATTGGAAAGTCAGATATACAGAGAGGAGGAGAGACAGAGAGGAAGATCTTCTATCCAATGATACTCCCCAGGTGACCTTAACAGCTGGAAGTGAGCTGATCTGAAGCCAGAAGCCTCTTCCAAGTCTCCCACACAGGTGCAGAGTCCCAAGATTTTGGGCCATCGTCGACTGCTTTCCCAGGCCACAAGCAAGAAGCTGGATGGGAAGTGGAGCTGCCAGGATTAGAACCGGCGCCCATATGGGATCACAGTGTGTAAGGCGAGGACCTTAGCCACTAGGCTACCGTACTGGGCCTAACCTTGATCTTGTTGGCATTTGAGCAGTGAACCAACACTGCCTCTGTCTTACTTAGCCTTTCAAATAAAAGTGTTAATTTTCAAAAATATATTCTGTAGGGGCTGGCATTGTGGCATAATTGGTTAAGCCACTACCTGCCATATCAGCATCTCCTATAGGTGTTGGTTTGAGATGCAGCTGTTCCACTTCCAGTCCAGGTATTAATGAACCTGCAAAGCAGCAAGGGGATGACCCAAGTGCTTGGGCCTCTGCACCCACTTGAGGGACCCTAAAGGAGCTCCTGACTCCTGGGCCAGCCCAGCCCAGCTCCAAACATTGTGGCCACATAGGTAGTGAACAAGCAGTGGAAGATATCTGTATCTCTTCCTCTATACCTCTGTAACTCTGCCTTTGAAATAAACAAATCTTTAAAAAAAAAACCAAACCATTCTATATGGGGCTAACTTGGTAGCCTAGTAGCTAAAGTCCTTGCTTTGCACACTCCAGGATCCCATATACACAACCGTTCTAATCCCAGCAGCCTTGGGACCCTGTACCCACGTGTGAGACCCAGGGAAGGCTCCTGGCTTTGGATCAGCTCAGCACTGGCCATTGCGGCCACTTGGGGAGTGAATCATTGGAAGCAAGATCTTCCTCTCTGTCTCTCCTCCTCTCTGTATATCTGACTTTGCAATAAAAATAAATAAATTTAAAAAAAATAGAATCAAGGTTAGGCCAGGCCTGAAAGCAGTAGGCTAGAATTGAGAGTTGGACCAGGAGCTTGAATTCAGATACTTCAATATGGGCAATGGGTGTCTCAGCCAGTCTTAACAGATGGGCCAAATGCCTGTCCCTATGAAATGCTAAAGATGCTCTGTTTTGTGAAGTAAGAGTTATATATATAACTGGACTAATAGAGTATAAGTTGAATTCTTTCTATAGAAAATGTATTCTATGAAAACTGACCTAATAAGTTTCAGAAATTAAATGCTGTTTGTTTTCCCTTAAACAGCTTTACACAAATCCCAATGAACCTGAGGTAAGAAAACACACATATAGGTGGGTTGTACTTGTACGTTGTATTTAAATGTTTACCTGGGGTGAGTCTGTAGATTATATGTTAGACTACCACAAATGAAGTTATCTCATCATTCACTCCTTCAGTATGCTGTTATAAACTTCCATGATTTTATTATAAGCTTCCACAGTTCTTTATCATGAATTAAAAATAACTACTTAGAAATATTAGAAGAAAAACCAATACTGAATCTATTCCCTAACATATTGAGATTATTTATTAATATATAAATATACAGAGAAACATTTATTTGAATTGATTCTGAAACTTTTTGTGGGTTTTGGAAAAATAAAATAAAAGAAATTAACATAATTCTAAATACTTTTTTTTAGAAAAGCTTATTTGAATTAGAGGGAGAGGCAGAAATATGTCTTCCATTCTCTTGTTCACCCCTGTTATGGCCACAAACCACTGGAGCTGGGCTGGTCTAAATCTAGGAGGTTCTTCCTGGTCTCTCACATGAGTGCGGGCCATCTTCCCCTTCTTTCCCAGGCACATTAGCAGGGAACAGTATTGGAAGTAGAGCAGGTGAGACTCGAACCAGTGCCCATATGACATGCAACCAGTGGCTTTTAGGATGCAGAGTAAATTGCATTTGCCTACAGAAAATTTTAGCATGGGAATAAAACTGTTAACTAGTGTTTTTTTTTTTAGATTTATTTTTATTTTTTATTGGAAAGTTAGATATACAGAGAAGAGGAAAGAGAGAGAGGAAGATCTTCTGTCCACTGATTGACTCCCCAGGTGGCCAGAGCTAAGCCAATCCAAAGCCAGGAGCTTCCTCTGGGTCTCCTACATGGGTACAGAGTCCCAAGGCTTTGGGCTGTCCCTTGCTGCTTTCCCAGGCGACAAGCAGGGAGCTGGATGGGAAGTGGGGCTGCCAGGATTAGAACTGGTGCCCATATGGGATCCCAGAGCATGCAAGGCAAGGAATTTAGCCACTAGGCTACCGCACTGGGCCCTGTTAACTAGTTTTGATGCAGATGTAAGTAATAATGAAACTAGGCAACAAAACCTTATGTAACAACTGATACATTATTTATGACCAAGAAAGAAAATATGACCATTTACAAATTGTTCCATATAACAGTCCCCCAATCTGTGTTCACAGCAAACATTGATTCGGTAGAATTTGTTGGCGTGCTTGATTGTATTAAAAGATTCAGAATAACAGCAAAGCAATAATCCTAGTGTAACTACTATTGTGTAGTGATGTTTGAGAGTCTCACAGCACGACGGCACACTGTTTCGTGGTTCCCTCTTAGCACCGAGTCACGGGCACCGCTGTTTATCTCCCTGCTCTCCTTCTCTCATGTACTCACAAAACAACGTTCTCCCATAAACATAGTCCTGGCATTGTCTGATACTGTGCCAGATGCTTGAGTCATTTCCCTAGAAGTATATCCTTCCCTAAACAAAAATGGCACCAATCATAACCATGTTAATATTTACCCGAAGCAGAAATACACTTCACACATGAATCAAAATGTGCAGCCCTCTTGTGAGAAACCTGTCCTGGTGCAGCAGCTGGGGACGTCTGCCTTAAATCAGGTGCAGTGCTTCTCCAGCACCAAGGCCAGCAGAGTGTTAGGCATTACAAAAGCAACTCAAGTAGAGAAGAATGATAATATAGTTTCTCTTTCTTTTTCTTAAGATTTATTTATTTTTATTGCAAAGTCAGATATACAGAGAGGAGGAGAGACAGAGAGGAAGATCTTGCTTCCAATGATTCACTCCCCAAGTGACCACAATGGCTGGAGCTAAGCCTATCTGAAGCCAGGAGCCAGGAGCTTCTTCTGTGTCTCCCACACGGATGCAGGGTCCCAAAGCTTTGGGCCATCCTTGATTGCTTTCTCAGGCCACAGGCAGGGAGCTAGAAAGGAAGTGGAGCTGCTGGGACACGTTTCTTTCACCTGCTTAGTACTGCTCAACATATAAAAATCACCACAGTGAATGAGATAGACAAGGTTCTTGCGTTTTCAAAGAATGCATTCTTATGGGAAAGATAAACAGTGAATAAGTAAGCAAAATTTTGCAATACAGTTTCAGATAGTTCTAATTTAGAAGGAAACAGAATGATAGTAAACTAGAAATTGGGTAGCGAATGGAGATGAGATGAGACTGGGTTGCTGTATTACATTGGGTAGTTCCTAAAAGGCCTTGCTGGGAGCCACTCTTGGAGCTAAGACTCAGTAACCAGAAGGAGTCATGTTCTGCAGGTCCGTGAGAGGCGGTGGCATGTGCTAGGCAGGATGTCACAGCAGTGAACAGTACAGGTGCTGGTGTCAAATCCCAGCTGTAGACTTTCTCACTTTGGTAATGAGACTATGTATACTAGTCTTATTTTATATACACACACACACGTATGTAGTATATACTATAATACCTGCTCAGAGTGTTGGCTACAGAGAAGTGATGTACGGCGCTTAAGGCAGTGAGTGCTCTACTGTTCTCAGCCGGGAGCTGCATCTTCCGGGGTTGTGGATGCACAGAAGCCCAAGGGCAGTCGGGAGTGTTGGGTGTTTGTGGAAGGTGTCCTTTGCCTGACACCTAGTGGGAGGGCAAGTGGCAGGAGTTAAGGGAAGAAGGGTAGTCGGGACAGATGAGTAAGGCCGCCTGGGCCAAGGTAACTTTTCGGTTTTATTCTAAGGGCAATGGGAAATCATTTTGGGATGGGGAAGGGATGGTTTCAGCAAAAGAGTGACATGATGTACTTTGTGTTTCAAAGACATTTTTGACTATGTAAGAGAATGACTGTTGGCAGGATTCGTGATTTGCCGGTGAATTGGAGAGAGAAGGGGAAGCTACTTGTTGCTGTTGTGCCAAGCTGTGTGAATGTGTCCAGCATGATGGGCAGAAGCCACTGAGGAGCAGTTTAAAGGCACATCTTTGTTAGGCAACACACTAGTCTGCAAAGTAGAGGGACATCTTAGGAGCTGTAAGGAAATGAGAAGCGCCTGCTGTAATAATACCCTTAGGTTGATGTGGTTAAGGATTAGCATCTTCTATAAAACAGTTACAGACTTAACTCTTTTATTAGTTACTTCAAACAACTAATAAAATGTAAATGCAATTTTCAGCTACTAAAGAATATGCTCTTGCTACAATTTAAAAAACAAACAGCGCTAGAGTTGACTGAGAAACTGGGCAGACAGGAAGAATAGGCCTTGTTTGCTTGACAGGGCAATTACACTAGAATGAGCTACTAAAGGGAGGAAGTGTGTATCTACCCTGTCCGGGGTGACCCTGCTGACCTCACCTGTCTCTTCTGTTATATTCACAAAACAATCTTCTGAACTTTGATTTCTCAAGTAGACTAACTTTGCTATAAAAATACTTTCCTCTTAGTGAATTAGCTCTATCACAAATTATTCCGCTTACAGTTTAAACAGAATGAGTCCATTTTTCCAGCAGCTGATCACTTATGATATAGATACATGTCAAGGTTTAGGATCAACAACACAGTGGACATTTAGTGGAGCAGTGCTGTGTGGGACAGCTGCGCCCTCTACGGGAGCCTTGGTTTTGAGCCCCAGCCTCTCTTCTCATTTCACCTTCCTGCTACTGCATACTCTGGGAGGCAGCAGGGGATGGATGGTTCAAGTAGTTAGGTCCTTTTGACCCACATGGGAAAACCAGATTGGATTTCTGGCTTCCAGATACAGCCTGGCTCAGTCCTAGCTGTTGGAGGCATTTGGAGGCATGAAACAGTGTGGAGGAGTCTGTCTCTGACTTTGTCTGAGACTATACTTTAAATGAAAATAAGTAAAAATGAACTAATTGTTACATTAAAAAAAAAGAGCAGCAGAGTTGGGAGACCAGATTTTTGTGAAGATTTATTTTTGTTTTAAAGGCAGAGTTACAAAGAAAGAAGGAGACACAGAGAGGTCTTCCATTTGCTGGTTCACTCTCCAAATGGCCACAATGGCCAGAGCTAAGCCAGTCTGAAAATACAGGAGCCAGGAGCTTCTTCTGGGTCTCATACAAAGACACAGGGACTGGAGCAGTTGGACCATATTCAACTTCTTTCCCAGGTCACAAGCAGGGAGCTGGATGGGAAGTGGAGCAGCAGGGACATGAACCAGTATTCATTTGGGTGCCACACTTGAGGTGGAAGATTAGCCAATTGAGCCATTGTGCCAGGCCCAAAAGAGATCTTTTCTGTCTTGTTATCACTGACTTCTGTGAATGCCATAAAGTAGATATTCAATGACAATTTGTTATGTGAACAAATGGTTTCTTGGTTGGTTCCATTGTCATTTAGATAGTTCACTCTGAGCCTTAGCTTTTATAGCTTTAAAATGATAATGATAGTGTTTGCCAACTGATTCATTTTTAGTATAGAGAAGGAAAGTTAAGTTGTCATTCTGTTTGGAAAGTATGAAATGAAAATATTCTTAATATCCGATGATAATTTATATTTCTTTTTGAAACTAATCTGTTTATATCCTTTGGCTTTTCTAGAAAGTGACTGAGATATATCAGTTCAAGTTCAAATACACAAAAAAAGGAGTTACTATGGATTTTGACAGGTAAAATCCAGTTGTTTAATGGATGTGGGAAATCTGCAGGATTGAAGTAAACATAAACTTCTGAGGTCATAGATAGGACATGAACATCTTTAGTAATTTCCCCTAAATCCTACAAAAATCTGCCATTACCAAAATAATCTGTAACGACTTTAAATTTCTGAAAATCATGGATTAAACTTGTGAGAGTAAAGGCAGTAGAAGGTAAGTGGTACAGCAGTAGAAATGAATGAGACTGGCTACTTGGTAGAAATCATTGAAGAAATCCATAAAGCTCTAAATAGGCGTTCCTTGACCCAGAGTTTCTTGATTGCTACGAGCAGATATTTATTAATCGTCTTTATCCTCAGTCTAACTAGGATGGGCCTGGAGCAGATTAATCCCCTGAACTATTTGCCTGCATATACCACTATTCTTATCCAGTTTCCCCACAGTGTCATGTAACTAACTTTCTATGTATGTCTGTGTGTATAAGATGGGAAACAATTGTATTTTTCACCAAGTCTAAAGTTCCAAGTTTTGGTTATGGTAATGGTTAAATAACAAAGACAAGGCCCTTTGCTTCAGAGGGCTCCTAGTACAAATAGAGAGATTTTGTCGAGGAACAGCATTTATTCTTCTCCCAGTAGTTTTTGACTTCATAGTAGCCAGGAGGCATAGAGAGCTGGGTGCTGCTGATGAGATGGAGTAAGAATGGAAAGTACATTTGATGGTGAAAAGACCAGGGTGGTTGAGGGCTGCAGGGAAGGAAGACGGGGTGACTTTGAAGAGAAAGGAGGCTTGGTTCTCAGTTTTCCCTACTATTAGCTGATTCATCATTAACCATACAATTGAAAATTGCTCTCCAATATTCACTTCCTCAATTATCCTCTCATTTGTAAAAGCTACAGATAGCACTGGAATGTGAAGAGAAATCAGTTTTAGAAATAAAATATTAACCATCATGAGCTAACATTTGCATAGCACTTTATATAGTCTACAGATCTTGTGACATCTTTTGTCACAAAACAATCCTATTTTCCTTTTCAAAACTCAAATAAATAAAATGACTAGCATCAAGATTTATTTTTTGCTTTAAAGGCACATATGCCAAGAGGTAAGCCTTAACGCAGAAATAGATATTTTAGGTATTACTAAGGAAGAAAGAAGGTGATACGTTTTTACTAATTTATGTATTAAAGTAGCATTTGATTAAATGAGGTCCTGAGTATGTATGTACTGGTGTGTGTGAGAGTGGCACATAAACTACAGGGCTGTATACCTTCCCTCTGGTTACCTGGTTCAGATTGGTTAAATTATGATAGACAAATCATGGAATTGTTTAAATCGTAAAAGGAACTAATAAATTCATTTAGTACATTTTTACTTATTGAGTTCATATTTCCTTCAAACATAAGTTAGACAAAGACCTAAAAGCTCAGTTACTTAGGATTTTTCAGCATTGAGCATTCTTTCTGTGGAAAGCCATGTGTAGACATGTAGCAGTCATAGTACTTGCTGCAAATTGCTCAAATGTGAAACTGATTGGGGAAGAAAAATGGGGAGCCATTTACAAAACAAGACTTGGAATTAGAAAGTCATTTAGCGCAGCTTGCTCATCTATTCACTAATTCAGTGAGTAGCTGTACACCAACTTCAGTACTGTGGAGATGTAACAGAGCCACTCAACGTCTCAAGGAGGACAAATAATTATCCTGAATAGGGTAAAGTGTAGAGATTATCAGGCAAGACTTCATGAAAGAAGTGTCACACAAGCTAGCTGATAAAGGATGAATTTGGGAGAGTCAGGAAGAGAAGTAGAAAAGCAGGATATGCAGATAGACATGGGTAAGAGGAAGTGTGGTAGCTGCAGATGAAGGTGGAACTGAAAATAAGGCTAGTTATGAAAGGTGTTGGACACATGGCATTCTTATACTTGATTGAAAAGTGATGAATAGAATGGAAGACTTACAAAGCAAGAAGGTGACATGAGCATATTTTCATATTAGGAATATTATTTTGGCAGTGGCGTGGAGAATGTTTTACAGTGTGGATTGGAAGGAAAGCAAGGGGACTGACTAACCACCCGGCCATAACGATGATCCGTGCGGGAGGGAGGAGAGAATGCTCTTGAGAAATGACTAGACAGATTCAGAGCTGGTGATTGGCTTTACACTTGGCAAGTCTTCTCAGTGCCTGTAAGCTTATCTCACACATGAGCTAGCTGACCAGGTCACTGAAGCCAGGTCACTGAATTCCAAATCCATTGTTCTCATTGTTACAGCTTGCGGTTATTTGTAAATATGACCTCAAAAAAAAAAATGTCTTGCTGTGTGGCATATGTTTAGTTGCTCTTCTGAACTGAAATTTCATTCCTTTGGGGGGACAGATTTGTATGTGATTTTATTATTTTTCCTGTGGTTATAGCAGTAATTCAAGCTTTGGAAGTCGAACAAAAGGTGAAGATATCAAAACAGTCAGTGTTCTCCTAATCCGTAAACTGTACATGCTGATGCAAGACCTGGGACCCCTTCCTAATGAAGTGCTACTTACAATGAAACTCCACTACTATAATGCAGGTGGGTGAGCACTCCAGTCAGATTCTTTCATTAAGTATTTAACTTAACATTTTAAATATAAATGGGACAATTTTAAGCATAGACACCAGATGCTGTACACGAATGATGAATCTGATTTATTCTAGGAGAATCATCTTAAGGCCTTTTTGCCCTTTGTTTTTACAGTGACCCCACATGATTACCAGCCCCCTGGTTTTAAAGAAAGCAGGAGCTCAAACCTCCTGCTATTTGACGGGGAGCCTGTCAGCGTTCAGGTGGGGTTCGTCTCCTCTGGCTTTCACAGCATGAAAATAAAAGTAACAACCGAGGCCACCAGAATGCATAATTTGGAGAACAATCAGTCTTATAAGAGCAACACTACTGAGATTGTCCATCAGGGTCTAGACTGTGAAGAAGAAGATGAAGAAGAGGAGGAAGACAATGATCAGGTAAGGCAGAGCTTTAATGATCTTCCAATATTTTACCTAATTCCACTAGCATTTTTTACTTCCTACAAGGGTCATGTCATGGTAGCAGTGTCCATTGGAGCGTGCCAGGTATACAAACTGAAATCAAACTCCTCCTGTTGAGGAGTTTTTAGTCTAAAAAAGTACATTTTGCATGAAGGAAATGTGTGTTGCTAGATGAAATTATTCACGATTCAGGGAGGAAAAAAGGATTTCCCAACAGACTTACTTTACTTAAGATACTTACATAAAATGATGATTTTCTACTTTGCATTTATTAGTAACACTTTTAGTGTTGAAAAAGTAATTCTAAAACAATCTAGGTATTTATCTATACTGACTGGAAATATAAACCAGCTCTTGGTTGCTGGAATAACTTAGTGGAAGAGATTAGGAGAGGAAAAAAATTTACGGATTAACTAAAGTCAGAATCAAACAAGATGATAGCCAAGTCCTTGACTGAGAAGAGAGAGAGAAGCTTTGGGACTAGATCACCGGGGTGAAAGCCACAGGGCTTCCTTCCTTACCTTCCTAGTTCTACCAGTAGACAGTCTGTCAGATGCTGGGTGCCCATTGTGCCCTAGGTGAAATCCACTGTCTACCGGCTGTTGTCTTAATGGTAGTGTTGTCTAATAGTAGTGGTTATTTTGTACTAACTTTGTATTATTTTATTTTAATGATGTTAACACAGTTGAGAGGGCTGCATACCCATGTGGGCCTTTGCTTAGGGTAGATAGGGTCCAGATATGGAGGAAGGTGGGTGGCACAATTGTTTCAGTTCTTCTCTTTTTCTTTTCCTGGTCTGCAAGAAGAAAAGGGAACGGGACCACTCCTTGCTGTCAGACTGCATCAGCACCCTAGCCTGGCCCACCCTAGTCTTCATGTGAACTGGCAAATGTTATGATCCAATCTTGTCTGGCTGCACCCCACCCTGGCTCTCAGTCATGCCAGTGTGTGCTGTGGACTGGCCCTGCTCAGCCTGCCCCAAGACCTGGTCCACATGTATTATAACAGGTGCTACAATCTGGCCTGTCCTCAGCCCCAACTCTCTTGTTCACCAGTTGGAGCTACAGGCTAGCAGGGGAGTTCCCCTAGTTCCTCTACCAGGTCCAGTCCCAGCTCCAGATCTTGCATGTGCTGGCTAGTGCTGCAACCCAGCCTAACATGGCCAGCCCCAAGTCCTTACACTCACTGGTGGGTACTGTGGCCTAGCCTGACTGGCTTGTACCCATTCCAGCTCTAATGTAACCCAATGAGTGCTGTGGCCTAACCTGGCTTGTTCTGTACCCATTCTGGCTCTCAGGAGCACCACTGGGTGCTGAAACGTAGCCCAGTCTGGCCTACCTCTAGACCTATCCCACATGCAGGTTTGTGCCTTATTGTCTGGTAAGCACTGGTTCACTCCCCAGGTGGCTGCAATAGCTGAAGATTAGCCCATCCAAAGCCAGGAGCCAGGAGCTTCTTCAGGGTCTCCCATGTGGATCCAGAATCTCAAAGTCCTGGCCCCATCCATTACTGCTTTCGCAGGCCACAACAGGGAGCTGGATGGGAAGTGGAGCAGCTGATATGTGAACCAGCCCCCATATAGGGTCCTGGCAGATGCAAGGCAAGGTTTTAGCCATTAGGCCCAGTAGTAGCCATTGTAATAGGGGTGAGGTAACAGTTTATTATGTCTTTTATTTGCATTTTCCTTATGACTAGTTACCCTGAACATTTTTTACATGTTTGTTGGCCTTCTGTATGTCATCCTTTAAAAAATACCTGTTTATGTCCTTTGCCCATTTCTTAACTGATTATTTTATTATTGTTGAGTTTCTTGAATTTTGTGTGGAACCTGGATATTAATCCTATATCAGTAGCATGGTATGCAAATATTTCCTCCCTTCCTGGTGGTTGCCTATTCACTTCCTTGGGTGTTTCTTTGTAGTGAGGAAGGCACTTAACTTGATGTAATCCCATTTGTCTACTTTTGCATTTATTGTTTATGCTTCTAAGGTATTTACCAAGAAGTCTTTGCCTAAGCCAGTGCCTTGCAGTTTCCCTAGCCAGCATTTGCAGGTGGGGCAAAAGTCCAGGGTAACACCCCAGGTATGCATGGTAGCTCTGCAGTCAGGAGGGGAGAGGGGTGACCACTGCCTCTACCCTTCTCTGGGCCAAGGTAACCCTCTCTGTGTCTGCACTTCCCTCTCAGTCGGCTGCATGAAGTGCACAGTCGGTGCTCCACATAGTGTGAACATAGAGTCCTCTAGGCTTATAGCACGGTCCCCGGATTCCCACAGCTACGTGCTGCCGGGGATCTGCTCTGCCTTGTGAGCCTCTCTGTTTCTGAACCTGGCACCTTGCTAAGGACAGGAGAGGGAAGTAGGTGCTCTCTACCCCGCCAGCTCATCTGACCAGTCTCAAAATCAGTGGAGACCACGTACTCTTCCCTCAAACAAACATCCCCAGAGATGCACAGGCTGTCACACTCCTGCTCCTTATTCTGGGAAGGTGGCACTTTCCCTGCTTATTGCTAGCCCCCCTACACAGGGGGAGGGGGCAGTACACCCTCCATTCCCAGTGTGAAGTGGACCTTCTGCTCCCTGCCCACTCTTCTGCCAGCCAGTGGGGACCGCAGATTTCTCCCTCTAACAAATTACGCCAGAGGCAGGCCAGCTGCCACAGCCTCCACTCACCTTATTCCAGGAAGATTGCACTTTCCCTACTGGGCACCTTTGCTGTAGAAGATGGTTCTCTGCCAGGAACCAGCTTCGAAAGTCACTGGTGGTGTCCCACGAGCTGCTGCGTGCCTTGCTGCGCCATAGTCTCTTTTTACTGTTGACTTCTCACTGAAAACTCTCCAACTGCCTCCCATGAATGCAGATCTTCCTGTTTTTCTGGTATTCTCCCATGATGAAGATTAGCCCATCTTTTTTCTCTGTTCTGCCAGAATGAGAGCCAGTGGGTGAAAATTACTTGAGGGGGAAGAGGGAAAAGATTGATTTTGGCTCATCAGAAGGAAGAGTTTTCTTCCTAAAAATCGCAGGGACCAGCACTGTGATGTAGTGGATTGGCCTGCTGCTTGCCGTGCTAGTTGGAGTCTCTTGCCACTCTGTTTCTGATGCATCTGGGAGGGCAGTAAATGATAACCCAGTGCCTGCCATCCACAAAGGAGACCCTGATGGCGTTCCTGGCCCGCCCTTGGCTACGCTGTGTTTGGAAAGGGAAGCAGTATTTTTGCTTAGCAACATTGAGATATACAGAGCCTGAAAATTTATGTAGATATGAATTGAGTATTTCCAGAAGCTTCCAGATGCTCAGGATGGATTTTTCTAACAATAATAATTGCTTGATAAATCTGGGTGCCTTATGAAGGAGTGAACCTCCCTACCACCAGCTGCGCTGAAGTATAGATATATTTATTTGTATGCAAGGTCCCTGCCTGCTTTCCTTTAGAGGGTTCATTTGTTCGCAGGGCTCCAAGCAAACATGTATTATACTGTTGGCTTCTAACATTGAGCCCTGACCATGCCTAGGTTTCAATTCCGTATCTGTAACCATTGATTGAGAATTAGCACTTTGATATCGCCCCGTCAGGTAAAATCAGCATGTGTACCGCTTTGTTCACCACAGCCATTCCCCATCCACACTAAAAGCAAGTTTTCCCGCCTTTATCTTATTGTCTTAAGTTCAAAATATTAAAATCATTCTCCTGAATTTCCCTTACTTAGTCAAGTAACAGAATTCCCCCAAGCTGCCTCTATTATTACCAAAACTTGGGTCCAGACTTTGACTGCTGCCCATTTAAATTGCTGCCACTGCCCCCAGGCTCTCCCACAAGCCTCCTGCTCTGCCCCGTGTGCCACCGCCATGTAATCTGCTTTAAATAGAACTTTCATCATATCACTTTCCTCATCAGCGGAATCTCAGGACTCCTATTTCCTACTGCATCAAGTCTGAACACCTCTGCCTCCTTCAGGCTGCTGCTAATCAGGCTCCACCTTACCTGATTCATTTCCCTCTGTTACCCAACAAGCTTCCCTTCCTTAGACCAGTTTTATCATTGTCACAAGAACAAACCAAGTTCGTTTCTGCTATCTTAACAAGTATAATCTTTTGCGTGGAATTACTTTTAAAAAAAATAATTTGATGGCCCAGCACAGTAGCCTAGTAGCTAAAGTCCTCGCCTTGCATGTGCCAGGATCCCATGTGGGTGCCAGTTTGCATCCCGATTGCTCCACCTCCCTTCCAGCTCCCGGCTTGTGGCCTGGAAAGCAGTCAAGGACAGATAGCCCAAAGTCTTGAGACACTGCGCCTGTGTGGAAGATCTGGAAGAAGCTCCTGGCTCTTGGATTTTGATCAGCTCAGCTCTGGCCATTGCAGCCACTTGGGAAGTAAACCAATGGACAGGTGGAAGATCTTTCTCTGTCTCTCCTTCTCTGTTAACCAGACTTTCCAGTAAAAATAAATAAATGTTTGAAAAATTATTTGAAAGGCAGAGTTACAGAAAGGGAGAGATCAAGATCTTCTGTCTGTTGGTTCACTCCCCAAATGGCCTGCAACAGCCAGAGCCAGGTTGGTCAGGCTTCCCATACGGGTGCAGTGACCCAAGCACTTGGGTTATCTGCTGCTATTTTCCCAAGCACATTAACAGGGAATTGGGTTGAAAGTGGAGCAGCTGGGACTCAAACTGGCACTCTTACGGGATAGAAAGGCTGCAGGCAGTGGCTTTACACCTCAAACCACAGCAACAGGACCTCTTATTTTAATCAGGCTCTCATCCCTGTCATTCCACTGTTCATTCTGCAGTTCCTATTATTTTCCTATCATTAGTCACTTCTTCAGTCTTCCTAATGTCAGTTGATGACACTATCATTTATCCAGTTGCTTTAATCAAAAACATAGGAGATGGGCCCGGCGCGGTGGCGCAAGTGGTTAAAGGTCCTCGCCTTGCACGCCCGGGATCCCATATGGGTGCCGGTTCTAATCCCGGCAGCCCTGCTTCCCTTCCAGCTCCCTGCCTGTGGCCCGGGAAAGCAGTCGAGGACGGCCCAAAGCTTTGGGACCCTGCACCCGCGTGGGAGACCCGGAAGAGGCTCCTGGCTTCGGATCGGCATAGCACTGGCCATTACACTCACTTGGGGAGTGGAATCATTGGACGGAAAATCTTCCTCTCTGTATATCCGCCTTTCCAATAAAAAAATAATGAAAATAAATCTTTAAAAAAAAAACATAGGAGCCATCTTCTCTCTCATAACTCACATCCAGTCACACAAGTGAATTTTCTGAAAATATATTTGAAATATATTTCAAATCTGACCCCCTCTCACTGTTACCACTCTAGTCCAAGCCAGGTCTTGAACTCATATGGGATGCTGGTGCTGCAGGTGGAGGAGTAGCATGCTATGCCACTGTGTTGGCCCAGTGCTTAAATTTCTTTAGCTTTTTTTTGTTTTAATCTTGAAACAGGTTCTCAGTCTTTCCTTGACTCAAGACCTTGACATCTTTTATTATAACAGATCAGTTATGTGGTATAGATTGTCCTTCAGCTTGGGTTTGCCTGATGTTTCTTCATGGTTGGATTCGAGCTATACATGTTTTTACTGATCATAGAAGTGGTATGTTAAGTAATCATTAC